TACTGTTACATCCGTACCGCAATTTTTCAGTTTTTCACTAAAACCACTCACAGAGAACAAAGTTTACAACATAATATAATACAAAAATCTGCTTCTTATCTTATAAATCACTATAAACGAATCACAAACTATTGCAACATGCGTCTGTCATATGATATTTATTTCGCGCCAACTCTACTAACTCTACGCATGACGTCAGGACCGCCATGACACCATGCGCGATATCCCCCCCTGGGTTTTATATATAATGCTTATGTTGATACAATTCACGATTTTTTCCAGGATGTATCACGATATCACGAAAAAGATGATATTGGTTTTCCAGGTACCTATCTCTAGACTTGAAAGGTATAATTGTAGTTCCTCTACTTCCCGAAGTCGTTCCTCTGATACCCCTGTTGTACCTACAATAATTGTACCTTTTAAGTAACGAGTAAAGTCTACTTTCGTAACTCGAATCAAGTAAATTTATGTCGTCTTGAAGTGTTGAGGCAAATACAGTACGATGAAGAATCAAATAAAAACCGTAAAATGGTGTGAACGCGTGAATGTGAATACCCAAAGAAATTACGTTGGTCGCGTGCACAGCCGCTCCTGCGGCGCCTACAAGTAAATCGCTACTTGAAGGAGACAGTTATAGGTACACCTCGAACGACTTCAACACATTATTGCCCATATTTATCTATCTCATGTGTATTAAGAGTACAGGAACCTTTCAAGTAACGATTTATCGTTTCTCTGTTCTCTGAACTTAATCCCTTTTTATGTGTATCAAACGCACGGACATCTTTTGAGGCGAGGTTCGGGGAATATCTTTCAATATTGAATGGTTGCAGTTTTCAAAAATCAGACTGGCGACATCAACGGTATCTTCCAAAATTATCACCTTTGCGTGTAAAGATGCTTAAATCAGCAAAAGAGAAAATTGAGCTCTGTTGCCAGGCGTAAAATAATATACCTACATCTTCGATTTCCAGATTAAATCTTTATTAAAAAGCTCAGTCCATCAAAATTAAAATCTTATGATCTTAAGATATTATAAATATAATCTAATACTATATTATATTTTTTGTCATAATTCTTATGAGATATTTCGCATGGCAACTTTGTTAATGTATCCAGTTTTATAATAATTGGAGTGTAGAACGTCGTCAAATAAACAGGTAATTAGTTTATATAAAATACATCTCGTCTTGTTTCTCTTTTTTAACTGACTTCAAAAAAGGAGGAGTTTCTCAATTCGTCGGAATATTCATCAGACTTTTCATGTATGTTCAGAGATAACTATTTACACAGTGTCCGATTTTGCTAGAAAGGGGGTACTTCAGAACATCCTCAAACTCTTCATTTTTATGTATGTTTAGCGGTAATTCTTTATCACCTTGTCCGATTTCTATGATTCTTTTTTCGTTAGGAAGGGGGTGCCTAAAGGGTGATCTCCTATAAATATGGTCAGGATGTGATCATGGCATCTACACGATTTTGAAGTCGGTTTTTTAAAATTACTTTTATTTATTGCTATAGTTTTGGTGATTGGCTTGATTAATGTGTCTGACAGTTAGTTAACTGACTTTTGCAGATTATATCTACAAAATATCAACTTTGTATCTCAAAGCGTTATTGTGCTGTGGCCAATTCTTGAACTGTCTGTGTCGTGATTGTTAATAGAAATGGATCCTGTTGAACCAAGGGCCTTAATAAAATACTTTCAGAAAAAATACATGACGCCTACTTAAATTCATGAAGACACTGCCACAGAAGAAATAACAATACAGAAAAGAAAGTAATGGTCGGAACTTTGAAGTTGAAGGGATATAAATATTTGACCTTGAGTTCCACCACAGAGATACTCTGGGAAAACATAATTATTCACAGTACCCGCGAACGTAGCTATTCACTGAACCTACACTGCGAAAACTACATTTCTCTTTTACATAATTATATTTTACGAAAATTTGCATGAATGCATTTGAAACTATTCTCGATTTAAGTAAATTATTTTTTGATTTGTAGCAATTCCGACAGAGGTTTCAAAAATAAAAATTTTAAAGTTTTAAACAATAGTTTAGTTTACCCTGTCATAATGAACTATTAACATTGTACCACAAATCTCACTAGTCATTTATGATCCATAAGTATAAATCAATTGGGATAATTGTTGAAAAATCATTAGCTAAAGCGTATTTTAGGGATTTTATGAATAAAAAAAAGAAAAATTAAAAAACGTGTATTTATGCAATTGATAAGTTTACAATCTAGTGCATGTATTTTATTAAAATAGAATTGTTTGAAAATTAAAATAATTAAAATTGTTTACACAGATTTATAGAGCAAGCCTAATTTATTATACATAGATAAATAGCTTTATTAAAATAGCTTTATCCTAATATACAACAAAAATATAGAATAATTATATAAACGGTACTTATAAAAAATATTAAATAATGAGTAATTATTTTTCTTCTTTTTGCACCAAACAAACGTTTTCTCAACGTAGCTATCTTCAGTCGCAGTCTCTGCTTTCTTGGAGTGTTTGATGATAACACATTACTCGTTTGAATTTGTGCTGTTACACAAGGTAAAGAAACAGATGGTTGACTATGCACTTGTTCAATATATTCTACTTCTGTTGAAGTTGAGGGTAGATACAAGTTGTCTTTGGCTTCTTCGCCATGAATAACAAATTCTTCTAAAAAAAGAAAGAGAAAACAAATTTTTATCAGATCAATTAGTGTCAAGAAGGTGCATCATTTGTCAGAATTAAATGTTTGAGTCACACTTTTTAGCCAGATGAAATTTAAAATAATTTTATAAAATGTGAATATATTTCTGTGCCTAGGAGCTAAACTGCACTGTCATTCTAGTCAACTTTTTAGTACACCAGATTGAATGTTGTTAAATTATTAAATATCAACTAGACACCCATTTATTGTTACAATATTTATATTTTTTACTAACCTAACTACTAAAACTACTTTATTTTAATTTGCATAAGTTGTTTTATGTATGCCACTATGTCGACATAGTGCAGTTTACCTCCGAGGTAATTCTACAAAATGGAATGTATGGGATGATATTCTAAGATTATTAGTACTTATCATTTTATTTTTTAAACTACTAAATGTAATGTAAAAAAATGACAAGACGAGTAGCAAACTTTTTGTAACATTTAACTATAAATTGTATTTATTTACCTTGCAAAACTGTGACTCTTTTCGTAGGTTCTAAATGGGGAAATACTGTTGGGAAATAATCGTTTTCTTGTTCCTTACTGATAAACTAATTTATCCTGGAAGTGTAGTTCACAAATTTGGTAATTTTTACTTAAGTCTTCAACACCCTTTCCCAATAAGTTCTCTCTATTTGCTGCCTTAAGCCACAATTCAAGTCTGTAAAATACATAGAATCATTGTACTACCATGTTATGGCAAGGTCAATTCCTATTTCACCCTCAAGGTTTCATACCTACCTCACTGGATCTTTCACAAGAGTGAACCATCCTTCTTTGCCACCTGTTCTTTAGGTACATCCACGATAATTACAAGTATATCCTCCTCCTTTTTGACGCGGCATTTTTTATAAACCTAATCTTAATACGTACAATAAAGTCTTAAATTAACAACTCCACAATTAACAACATCAACAAAAACTAAAAATAAACCACTAAAAAAAACGTAAAAGTTATCAGAATATTCGCTAAAAACAACCAAAAATCCTAAACGACAAATAAAGACACGACAGGAAAAAAAATATTGATTTTCTAACAGCGACAGCAGTGACAGCTTCATTCATCTGCTATAAAAGTGTGCACTGTTGCACTTCGAACAAGTAACAAATCTACGGTTCAATTTTGACAATGCTCCACCATGAAGAAGGCGTGGCTTCGGTTGCTAGGTTCCTGTTTTAGCCCTATGTTTCTTTTCTGTGTTGTTCTTTATCCTGTGACAATGCAGTTTCTTATGACATAGTCAAACGCTGGTGTCAAAATTTTAAATGCGGATGCATCCTGTGAAAAACAGCATGGTAGTGGCCCTCCCATAATAGTAACAACAGACAAAACATTAAAAATTTACACGCTATAGTACTGCAAGACCGACGAGTACGTATCAGGGACATTGTGAAAGATACTGGCTTATCATATAATGTGGTGCACCACATACTGAATAAAGAATTAGATATGAAAAAGATGGGTGCTCCGAATGTTAACCATTGATCAAATTATAAACTAAAGAGCTTCTTCCAATTCCAAAACACGTTTAAACACCAATAAAATCTCAAAATTTTAACCAGAAAATAAATATAAAATGTTTGTATCCTTAAGACAACTAAAGTACCTACTTCAAAAATGGCGTTCTGATTACATAGTTCCCGACATTGTTTTTTTCTACTGGTTTTGGCCAAGAGAGGTAGGTCCTCTCATTCATACTTCAATTCGTCTCTACACTTTTTAAAAGAACAGCTTTAAAAGTTCGCATGAAATGATCATTCTCTGAACTGCAGAATAGGGGCGCAGGAGACGAAGCAAAAATGTTAAAATGCAATCACATTTTTTGCATATGAATTACTTGAGTATTGGAAATGTTTTAATTACCCTAATCTTGCTTTCAGTGATACTATAATACGATGGATATACACTAATAATGGATATGGTTCCTCTATAAGCAGATAAAATATCAAAAAAATAGAAAAGTACCTCTGTGTTAAATATTCTGACCAGCTACGTCTTTCTTCCAATAATATAATCAAAGCAACGTATTTTTTCCGACAATAACTAAAAATCTTATTCTGGCCCCTTATAATTCTAAAGTTTTATCATTTGTTTATGTATGATTGCATAAAGTAGAATACTAGTTGGGATAGTAATTTTTCAGAAATAGTTTTTAAAGCCGACTTGAGTGTCCACTAAGAGATTAATTTAGTTTTACACCATCTTTTCCTAATTTCTAAGTCTGTGTTAAGCGTACCTGTTTAATCACTTCTCCTTTTTATCATTGTTGCAGACATTTCATACTCCCAGTTTCGGAGACGAAGAATTTGATATTCCGGCGATCAATCCCCAACAGCGACAGACACAGCAACATTCTCAACATTCTGATCAGCAACATTATCAGCCTCCAATGCAGGTAAGGCTCAACACTTTTCTTAGTCGAGGCATCCAGTATGTTTTATAAGTATGTTAGGTTTTGCTGTCTATAGTCTTTCGTTTGATTCCCTTTGTTAAATGGCCTTGGTTCTACTGACACACTATCTCTTGGTCCTTTGCTAGGTTTTGTGGTGTAGGTCTAGGGTACAGTCTTTTTAGATCTTTTTAATTTTATCCTTACTTCTTGTAGGGACATTTGCCTTAGTGTATCTGTATCTTAGACAAAATAGATCAGCAGTATTTCTATATTATTTTCTTCCCTTGGCAATTCCATTTTTTTCCTAATAATAAACCCAGTATTCATATAAACTTACTTTAAAGTTATTCTTTACCTTTTTTATCCAATGCTGTCAATTAAACAGCCACTTTTGTTTATATTACGTGGTTTATTTTATAATTAAAAATGCACACTTTTAATTGGTCATACATATAAAGTGCAAAAAATAGTAAAACGTCATAAAACACAGGTAAAAAGTGGTAGAAACCATTAAAAAAGGAAAGAAACAACCACAGTAATAATTTATATTTCGCAATCAATCATCTAATTCTCATTTTTGAGACATTTTCTTATATTAACTAAATATATTTCCCTTCTAGAATATTGAACGTTTAATTCAAATGCCTTTTTTTTTTCAGGGTATGCAACAAATGAACCAACAGATCAATCAGCAGCAGAATGAGATGGGTATGCATGATCCAACAGGAGGTTTTCAGCAACCCCTTTATCTCTCAGGGCCTGAGCATGGAATGGTAAATTCCTCATACCACAGCCCACAACAAAATTATCCTTCACCACAACAGGTAATACTAAAAGCCAGATTTAATTAACTCAGATTTTCCATAAAAAAAGCAATAATCAGTCGTATATTTTGCAGAAAAACAGTTTCAAACATTTTTTTCAAAATATATAATCAATGATTTATGTTTCTTAAAATTGTCTACATAAAAATCTTCATGGTTAGTTAACGGTGAAAAATTAAAACTTATTTTTATAATAAAACAAAAATAAAGTGTTCAACATAAAATAAGATAAAAAAATGTGCATCAAAGCTTGCACCCGATTTCAACTTATTAAAATTCCTTATGATAGTGGTGTTTTTCAAATAACTTAAATTGCTCGTATCCAACCTGTATCCAAACCATTCCTTACAATTACAGACCTTTATTTCTATCTGCAGTAATAAAATAATACATCAACATTGAGCTCCTCAAATGTCCTTAATTTCGTAAATTTGTCCGTTAAAAACAAAACTTAGATTTCATCAATATATTAAACAACTGATCCTATAGCTTTTGTTCCATCCTGGTCTACAGCCAAATTCATATGTCTCATAATATCGGCAAAACTTTTTACCAGTTCTCCTAAATTTCTTCATACGGAACTACGACAAAACTCTATTGTACCAGACTATACAATATCTGTTATTGATGACTACTTGTGTGCGCTTTACAACATCAGTGCAGGAATTCCCCAAGATTCAGCATTGGCCCTAACTCGAATCCTAATATATAAAATGACCTTGTCTAAGGGTACGTATAGAAAGCCGATTACCTGCTTACCCGTAGTCGTCGCCTACTATCGGTGCCGGTAGACACTGGTTCCAGTACAGGAAGGAATCGGGGAATCTGCTTCTTCTACTACCAGTCTTCTACTAGTTGTGGGGTGTCGAGACTTGTAAATATGTTTAAAACTTTTATAGCAAATAACCCTTTGCATAATAACTGGACTCCTTTTTAATTTTATACCGAAATAATATTCATTATAATTAATAAACAAATAAAATTGAAACAACTTAATGTCCTCTTTGTACATTTCCTCGCCGATCTTCTTCCAACATTTTTCTACAATATTTCTGCTGACTTTTTTATCTTTTGTCTTATGTTTGCATAACAACAATTAATGTATCGGTATACATGTCTGCAATTCCTGCCTGCTCGCTTATAATTTTATTTATATTCCGGTAAAATAACCATCTTGTGTTGTCGGTAACCCGCTTTCTTTTCGCACACTCCCGTTTAAAAACAAAGACAAATTTAGGCGCAGATCGGCGCCGACCACCGGTAAGTAAGTAATCCGCTTTCTTTGGGTACGTACCCTAAGGCACTTATCCTAATGCTTCCTTATCTTTTTAAATTACATCACTCTGCTTACCTTTAATCCACCACACAAATTACTTAATTAACGACTTTAATATAACTAAACATCTTGTTCCTTTTATCCATCTGAGTATAGTATGTAATAATATGTCCTTGATCTATTAAACTCTATAGCTTGCCTGCTCACCAGTCCCATAACTCGTTACTTCATAACTAGAGTGTCTAGTCACAATTGTTTGCTGTCATCCCAATTCCCCAATCATCTCCGCATCAATAAGTTATCCCTGCTTCCTCTAAGTACGACCGTGGTACAGAGTTATTTACAATATTTACCTTCGTGGTCGTCAATCAGTAAAAAAATAGCTGTTATTTTCAAATTAACTACCTACTTTTCATTCAAACAGTTATAAAAATATTTCCCGATTTTATACTACAGCAACAACAGCAACACAACAGTCAGTTGTTGATGATTCAGCAGCAACAGCAACAGCAGCATCAACATCAGCAACACCAGCAACATCAACAGATGATGATGAGTCATGGTCAGCCTCCCCCTTCGCAAATGGGGCAGTATGGGGCGTCTCCCCAGCATCCACAGGGAAGGGGAAACAGTCCTCCTGCCCCTGGACAGGAGCCGACTACTAGCGATGATAGTGATGACAGTACTCCTCATCCAGCAATAGTGAGTAAAAGAGGAATATTATTAATGAGTATAATACGAATTAATAGTAAAAATCTTTTTGGCTTTGACGTGTCCTCAATTTAAAACTAATTGGGCCAATGAATAGACTTAAAAGATTTAAGTTCAATGTTTTTTCTCAAAAAAATCTCAATATTTTAAAGCTTTAACACAATTTTTATTAAAACGGTTAGATGATTTCGAGAATAATTTCGACTAAATACAATGGTAAAAATAGGTTTTAGTGATGTTTCCTAATGACTTTTTAGGAACATGACTGTTAATTAAAATAAAAACATTGCCTGGATATTAAATTATAATTACTCGTATTACCGAAACAATTGGTTTTAAAATGGTAAGGTCATTTGATTGAACCATTATTAACTGTTAAGATTTATTTTTATTTAAAAAACAAAAATAAAAAGTACTTAGGTATGTAAGATATAATTATTTAATTCACTGCAAGGAATTGTTACGCCAATGGTACCTATAATAAACAGCAAACGATACAAACTCAACATTCCGACGCTCACTGTATAAAAATATTTAGTTAACCATCACCAACACAGCTTTTGTATATTCATACTTATGTATATTTCGCTACATGTAACCCGGTCAGACCTACTTTTACATAACACACAATAAAACGTGCGCAGTCTCTATGGGTGTCTGCGACGCTGCGTTCCTCACCTCAACTAAAGTAAGCAAAAGCAAGCAAGGTTCAACTCAACCATCTGGCAAATTCAGTGCCTCGAATCTCGAAATTTTAATTACGGCGACTCTAAATAAAGACAAAGTAAACGTGTTGTCATTGTGTAGATTGCGTTTTGTGTGGGAACTTTTGATACGAAACGACGGCGATAGAAAACTGCTGATAAAAGTTCTTTTAAAAGAAAGAAACGGCTAAACTTTGAACAACCGGCTTGTAATTAAATACTAAATCTAAATTAAAAGTTCGTTTTGTTTGTTTATATTCTGTATTTTTGTGGTGATAGTTTGTGAAAAAGGTATTTTTGGCACTTACATAGTAATATTAAATTTTATATGCGTTAAATTTCTATAAAATAAACAAATGAAATCTATATAACCTCACTTTTTACATTGATAATATTATTAGTCACCGTGAGGAACAGGAAGTGCAGTGGCGTAGCACTACGTTGGTATTCGAGCGCATTGTAAATGCTTCTGAATTAAAATAAAAAATTGTTTATATTAACGTAGTTTTTATATGAATTTATTTACAAAAATATCAATAATTTTTATTTTAATAATAAAATATCAATTATTTTCTTCAATCTCTAGAACTATTGTATCACAAACAACATTAACTTTTTAAAATCATAAAATGACTGAACTTAGTAGATTTTGATTATTAGGGAATAATATCTTACAGTATGATGTAGAAGTAGGATTTAATTGACATTAAAATGATTTCATATTACAAACAATAGGAGTCGAACGTACTATTATACCTAGTTTTTTTACTTAAGTACTTACCTACTTACTTAATTATTTTTAGTGCTACTATAAAAAGGATAAAACTATATTGTATATATCTGATAAGTGAACAAGAATGTGACATGTCACGTTTATGATTTAATAAACAATTTGAAATATTATTGAACATTGCCTAAAGTTTGAGTAGTAGGTATTAAGGGCGTCTTTATTTTGAGCAAGCATATTTGAAATTTTAATAAGGAAAATAATTAAAATACTTAGTGCTTTTTATTTTTGTGAAATAATGTATAATATGCTTAATGGTATATTTGCCATATTTTGACAACATAACCTCTTGTAAATTAAAAGAAAAAAGAAAACAAAACACTGTGTAGAAATTTTTAATTTTTGCAGTGCATTGGGTGATATAAATAAAAATTAAGTTTATACTCTTCGCATATACTCAGGAGCATAAGCATAAAGTGGGAGTTTATACTTCAATCTATATGAATGAATAAAATGTATCGCAGCTTTAGCGAGTAAATGCTCCTGTAAAAGTGAGCAGATATTCCTATTTACTGATTACGCCTAGTAAAGCTTGAGTCTTGTTTTGAAAATAATTTGAGCATATTTGTAAATTTCTGAAATGCACCATATTGATCAGATCTGGGCCATGAGGCCTATATGCTTGTAAACCATTCATTCAAATTGTATGTGGCTTGTACATTAATGCTAGAATACCCTTTTTGATATATGTATTCGTTTCCATGACCACGGAGCTTCTTTATACTTATGTTAGTACACCTACTGCATAGGAAAAATTCCACTTGTTTGCCACTTTTCTTTGTTTATATGTATATATGCAGCACTCTGTGGAAATTTTATTTAAGAGCTAGTTTTTTTTTTTTTCAATAATTTTTATTCATAACTACCCTGCATCAAAACTTTTAAAACAGGAGATTGTGGACTCCCAAATCTTCTTCTATCTCAAATTGAAAACCTGGGTCGGCTGCAGAACCTCAAGAATATTTTTAGTATGTCAACTTTACATATTGCATCACTTCTTCTTTCAAAAAATGGTTCGACATTCACTCTATCTTTTGTAAAACAATATAACATTACAGTCATCATCGCAGGTCGTTCTTCTTGGTTTGTAATATTTATTTGCTCACAAATTCATAAACTCAGCACTTAGCCATCACTTCTTTGCGGTCAAACTGAAACTAAGTATCCTTCGAAGGAGAATCCACTTACTTATATGGAGAAGAAACTCAGACTATTGAGCACAAATTTATTTTTATTCATAAGAAAATTAAGTTTATACTCATGATGAGCAACTACCTTTAATTTTTTTCATACAAATTGGAGTATTTACTTCAGAATTATTAGCATGGAGTACACACTCTGCTTTATTCATATCAGCCAATAAATTCTTTAAAAAGATAGGTAACTAAACAAAATATACGTAGTCTAATAAATGGACCACTTAAAAATGTTCTACCTACTTCCAATAACGAAAATTCTAAATATTGCTTTACCAAAAAAAGTTCATTTTAAATAACTTTCTAAGTAGGCATTGACTTTTATACAGACTTTGTTAGGCTCAGCTTTCAAAGGTTACACCTGATATCAAAGAGCTTAATTATGTTTAAGACTTTCGCCTACAAATGATATTTTGAATAAATATAGGTATATAAATTATTATTGCAATTATTTTATTATACCTACTAGACAAAAGGGGTAGTTAATTTGATTATTTTAATGGTTTCTGGAGAAGAAATAGGACCAATATATAATGACTGCTAAGACCAATAGGTAAGACATAAAAATGTAAATGCTTTATCAAACTTTTTTAAATTAAGTTACTTGGACATTTTATATTTAAAATCCCGGATTACTTAAATCATATTTTTTGTTATTAACTAACCATTGAGTAGACACTTTCCTTTCTTTTGCTAATTGGGAATGTATTTAGTTAACTATTTATAACTTACCTTCCATTTTCATTATAAAGTCTAAATAAGTGGGGTACCTATGTATATGATTTGGAATTTATCGCCAAATATGGCCAATAACAACATAGGTACAAGCTGAAATTGTTTTTGATGATTTTTTTAATATACTTATTTTCTTTTATAAAAAATACATTTTACATGGTTTAAATACCTACTTAAGATAATAAATAATGTCTTTGAGGGACAAAAATATAAAATCAAAACCAAAAATAAGTTTTTATTAACTGTGTATGGTCATGTAGAAATTGTAGTTATTACTGTCTTGTTTTAATTACTTAATTATATTTAAATAAAAGTTTGACCTTATACCCAATACTACTCTGTCTAAATACCAGTACTTTAAACATTTCTAAAGTGAACTATTTCTGTGAATTCTCTCAGCCAAAAAAAAAACATTTTTTTTTTCGGTTTTGTTTCTTTTCATTTGTTTTTGTTTTCAGATAACTGCGATGAAAAGGCCGTCTCCCGAACCAGCTGATCAGACGTTAACGAAGGCACAGAAGAAACCGAAAGTACAAAAAAAGAAGAAGAAGAGGGACCCTAATGAACCACAAAAGTAAGCACAATATCTTTCATTGTTTTTTCAATTATTTCTATTTTGTTCTATATTTAATTTTTGGCTGTAACGGTTGACTTTGGTCATTTGCACCGCTAGACGTAGATAAATAAGTAAAGAAAACATAAACTGACACATAATAAAAATGTAATTTTAAGCTTCCCTTGAGAAGAATAAAAATAATATCGTTAGAAGTGTGACAGACATCAAATTAATAATTAATACACATATCTATCACAAGTACAAATTTAACTACTTTTTTCTAATTATGACATATAAAGTGACATTTTTTGTAATCACAGCAAGTGTCAAAATAAACCTTTTCTGGTTTTAAAATCAATAATATACTTATATATTTTTATTGAAACTTTATATCAAAGAAAGGCAGGTTTGAATTATAAAAATAGAATTTGGTTAAACTTACAACCTAGTAATAATGTTGTTTTGGTCCTTATTTTCCAGTCTAAATCGGCACAAAATAATGAAAATGACAATACATGACAAAATAACCCACTTTTTTAAAAACTAAAAAACTTTAATAAGAAATATAAAGACACTGCAAGTCGTTGAAAATAAATAATTAATAATGATGTTCTTTTTGTCAAAAAAATGACGCATATGCAACTAACAATACAATAATGTAATATTCACGAATATATTTAATATCCATTCTAGGTAGTAAGAACACTGCAAAAAAATTAAATCAGCCAATCACAGTTCATATTTTGGACACACAACTACTATAATTTTTAAAATTTTAAATAAGTGACAATTCTGTCAAATTAATTAACACGAGTTATTTTTGTGTGGAATCGATAAATAATAGCATTTTATTTTTATTTGGTCCACATTTTGAAAAAATCTTAAATTTAAATTAAACTTTTAAAACTATAATCATAAATGTGGAGGTGAAAGTGAGAGTACGGCATCTGTTTTCCACGTGAGAGACCTGGGTACGAATCTGGGCGGGGGACTAATTAAAATAAATCTTTTTTTTATCTTTATTTTATTTTATAAATTAGTAAAAGTCATAAATTATGTTAAAAATAGTTATTTTGTCTTAATAACCTAAAATAAATTTGTAAATTTTCGTTAGTGGGTCGTAGAAAAAATATACTGTACAACTTGAGTGGATTGTCCATATCCACTCTTGTTGCACAAACTACTATTTAATTTAAATAAAACTATATGAAGTTAATTTAATTATAAGTATTAAAACAAAAATGTTAATCGCATAGATTGTGGTGAGGTCAGCCCGCTTGCTTTTCATGCGGAAGGACTGAGTTCGAATTTCGGAATGGGGAAAAATTTAATTAAATATTTTCTTTTTTTTTTCTTGTTTATTTGATTTTTTAGGCGACTCTCAGAAAAAATGACATTTTACAGATAACATCCCTAAAATGTCACTTTTTTTGACCGCATTAACTTTAGTAAAAGTCATATATTATTTTTAAATTAGGTATTTTATCTTAATAACCTAAAATAATTTTTAATATTTGTAGATTTTCTTTAGTGGGTCGTAGAAAAAATATACTGTACAACTCGAGTGAATTGCCCATATCTACTCTTGATGCACAAACTACTATTGATGTTTTTGTTTTTTCTCTTCTTCTATCTCTCATGGTAAACGCACTACCGATCTAATAAATATTGATTTTGATTTTGAAACAGTGTTGCCACTCTGTGAATTGATCATCAAAACTCGGTGAATTAAAAAATTAAAAATATGTCGTATACCTTGTTACACATGATGACAAAAGTAGTAGCAGCTGTCGTAGTACCCAGCTGTAGGAAAATGGAAAAATTCCATAAATAATCCGCAATTCGAAAATTACTGGAGAGCTTAATTCTGTTATATTCGACGATTAATAGTTTAGCTACACATTGATTATGTTGTAGTTATTATTTATTAAATTGTACAAAACGAAATTGTCGATAGGCAAGTTGTTAATCTGTAGGTTTCGGTTTTAATTAGTACCTACATCTAAACAAAATCAGTGAGTCTGGCACCGCTGTTAAGAAATCCCTCGCTGGCCGGTGCGTGGTTACATATTTTTATTTGGCAGTATTTTCACAAAATATTTGCGTTACATTTATTTTATTACATAGGTATCTTTTGTTGGAGTAGGCTGGTAACCAGAGTTGTACTCAGAATGTATTATACATTTTTAATAAATTTTATTTATTTAATTAAAACGTATGCATACAATGTATTTATTTTCTGAACTTACGCAACTTTATCAGTTTTTTTTAACACGCTTATATTAGCTTCACCTGTATGTATGTTTGTAACTCTCCTTTGGACTAAAATCAAGTGGCTTATTACTGTCAGTATATCCTACTAACTCAAGTTCGTTCGTTGGCCGAGCGGTCTAAGGCGCGGGTTTTCGATTGCCAGACTCACCGATCGTGTGTTCTAATCCCCACGGCTGAAAAAAAAGATAATTTTGTTTTCAGCAACTTTTTTAATAATTAATCGAACTAAAAAGTAAAAAATATATATAGTTTAAAAAAACTAAAAAACACGCTTTTATAATACATCGAACTAAAGAAGTGAAAAATAATTTTTCAAATAAGCTTAAAACAATAATAAATGGAAAATACTAGTATTATTGTGAAAAAAGCGTGGGGCGCTTTGTCCATATTTCTCGTACATCGAGCGCCCGACGCTTTTTTTATTTTTCTGCATATTTAAAAGATGTAAACTAAAATTTTCTTCTTGTATTTTTTGTATAAATTACGTATAATTTAATGTCTGTTCCAAAAACGATCATAAACCATTCACTGACACCAGGATTCTGCGCAGTAGATAAGTTGGAGGACCCAATAATCTACTGCACGGAATCGTGGTGTCAGTGACTGCTTTCTGATCGTTGTTGGAACGGACCTTTATTTAGTCTTTTCAAATTGGGTACTTTGTTGAGAAGTGTAGCCTTTTTAAAAATAGGCAATGTGCAACTTTAACACGCTGTATATCAAAAACTAGTCATAAGATGCAGTTGGCTCCGAGGACGTCTTTGTTTTTAAAAATTTTTAAACCCAGTACCATTTCTCCATAATGAAAGAGCAAAGACCTTGCCAGACTTTGCCCCTTGCTGGTGGCATCCATGGAAGAAACATCAAATTTATACATTAATAATATTGTGTTATGTTTAAAAGAAATAAAGGACATTACAAGATTCCATTATAAAAGTTATACCACCACTTAATATAAAAACCAAATCAGTAGTTTCGATAAAAACATTGTCCATAAAATTATTTAAATACGCCCCAGAACCAGGTAGATATGCTACTCGTTGGCGAACCCGTAAAATAAAAATTTGACCTACAAAATCTGGCAACCAAGCAATTAGTTAATTAATATTTTTTGTTTATGGCTTGCAAATTCCATCTTAAATAATATGAACATTAAAATGTCAGGTCTTGTTTTTCTTAAAAAAGAAAATAATAAAAATTACTCTAATTTTATATGATTAATCTTTCGTTTGGAAATTCACATATTTTAAATATGATTTGACAATCTATATTGTTATTGAGACTTTGTAAAAACATAATATAATTTTTTGCCCTAAAAGCTCTAGCAAACCTGATTATTTGATACATATTCCATTTTGCTAACAATTGTATTATATCTAACTTCGGAATAACCTTAAAACTTACGGAAACTATGAATACATATTGATCTGTTTTTTTATTGTTATTGCGGATGATTGATATTTATTTGCATATGCCAGGGCGTATTTTTATGTTATAAAATTAGTTATGAAAGAAAACTCATTTTACAGCTTTAAACCGATTTTTTTTTCTGCAGCTGCATTCAACCTTTGTAGAGTACACTTAACTTTTTCCAGCTGCTGTATTCCTCCAGAAAAAAATATTTTGGAAGGTTTTCAAAATTCTCCTGTACAGAATTTTTCAAAAAAATCTTTTACCCATTTTTTTAATATTTCTAAACAAAAAAATGTCACCACATGCTAAATCTGGGCCATACGTTCTATGTGGCAGCTTAATGAAGCCACATTCTTCAATTGTGTTTTGAATTGTGTACCCTGTAATTGCCATTTCAGATATAATTGGTCGTACGGATCATCCTGTATAGAATCTGTGCCTCATTTAAATTGTTTAGCCCGAAATTTTGAAATTTTACTTGAAAATATGAGGCTCCTTATACAGAATAACCTTTCGTTCATGGATAACTTTCCGTCCAAGGTCTTTATTGATAAATTTTATAACATTGCGATGCTCAAGTTTGATGTGACTCATTTTTAACAGACTTCAAAAAAGGAGGAGTTTCTCAATTCGTCGGAATATTTTTTTTATGTATGTTCAGCGATAATTCTTTAACACGATGTCCAATTTCAATGATTCTTTTTTTGTTAGAAAGGGTGCACTTTATAAATTTGGTCAAAATATAATAATTGAGAAAATCTTCAAACTCTTCATTTTTTATGTATGTTTAACGGTAATTCTTTACCACCTTGTCCGGGGTGGTAAATTTGGTCAAGATGTGGTGATGGCATCTGCACGATTTTGAAGTCGGTTTTTTGAAATTACCTCTATTAACTAAACAAATTTTTATTCGAACTACAAAATTCACGAAATTTTAAATGTCACAAAACTTTTCATCGCTATATAGATTATATAAATGTACATTACAAGTAAATCTTAAAAATTTCACTGCCATCAACCAGACCAAAGGATATCATAAACTCTAGCAATTAAAAACGAATTCTGCTTGTATAAAACGATCATTAAACTCTAGAGACTACTTATACCTAAATTTTATTGGTAATTAGTAAAACTGACATTTTGTTCTGAAAATGATGTATTTTAATAGACGATTGCATATTATGTACTCTGAATAATCGCCATCGCTCCACTTCGCTCTGCAAGTCTGTCTTCTAACACGACGTCTATTGATTTTTCCGATGCTATTAAATCCTATTAAAATGTTGAAATGCCATTTTCCCCAACTGCACTTCGGCTTGGGGTGCGTCGAC